GTTTTTAGTTACTGCTCAAATGTTTGGTCTGGCCAAGGACTTTGTGAGTCTCATGCTCTGCCAGGGAGGAGAGGAAGCCGGGAGGAAGCAGAGACAGGACACCTGACCCAAACTAACCAAAGAGGTATTCCATACCACAGCACGTCATGCCCAGGATGTAACTGAGAGTTACCTGGAAGGGCTGGGAGACTGCGGGGTTGGACTAGGTATCAATCGGTGCTCAGTCGGGCTGGGTATCGGTCCGCAGGTGGTATTGTATTCTCTTCCTTTGTTATTTCCCTTATCATTATTATTATTGGTGGTAGCAGCAGTGGTTTGTGTTATACCTGAGTTACTAAACTGTTCTTAACCCAGGGGAGTTGCATTCTTTTGATTCTCCTTCCCATACTTCTGGGAGCTGGGGGAGGGCAAGGGGGGAGGGACGGGGAGTGAGAGAGAGACCGTGTGGCTGACTTGACAACAGGGTTTAAACCACGACAGATGTTCAGAAGATTACTTTTTTCAACAATAACTCTTATTGTAAAGAACAAGAATAACAAAAAAGCAGAATCAGATGTGCTGTCTGTATTGCATTACCTATTTTATGCATTACCAGGAGTGGATTTGATGAATGCTGTCAGTAAACAGAACCAATGACAAATAACCTTTTGAGGGTCTTGAGGAGTTAGGAATATTTTTTATCAAGGGATGTAAAATGTGCTGCACCTTTCAACTTTTTTTTTTCTTTAATTTATTTAGAGAAGTTTAGGGACTTTCCTTTTCTGAGGTCAGTAGTTTCAGTTAATCTGGTCTGTCCCTTTATTAGGAGGGACATTCTGTGAGAAGAAGATGCTTGCCATAATCAAAGCCTGTTGTAGCACACTGGCCAGTAATATCCCACAATAGGCTCTGCAGAGTGTTCCAGAAACAAAGCTTTCAGAAACCAAGCTTCCATACATTTCAGTAGGCTGCTGAACACTGCCTGGTGGCTCCACTTTTTAACTTCCCTGATTTGAGCCTGGTAGCTGCAGTATATGAGAAGCCGGAGCTAACCAGCTTCTTTACAGGATTTATGTGTGAGGGGGATGAGAAGACGAAAAGAGAAAACTGCCACAAATAATAAAAAAATGGAAAAGCCCCACAAAGCATCCAGGAAAGTCCTCAGGGAAACAGCAAAAATTAAAACTGTTAACAAGCACTATTGTTCAATTACAGGAGAGGAGTGTTGGGCAGCAAACAGACTCCTTTCTTCTGTATAGGTAAAGCTGACATACAGAAAATTGTGTTCTGTAAGGGATGTGCTGCTTCTTCATGTCTTCTGCATCAGGTCACACATCACACAGGTCACTGACTAAAGCACGAGGGCTCCTCACTGTAGGACCTTGCCTTTGCCTCTGGGTTTCACCAGAGGCACAAGGACTCCCTAGCACTTCTGCAGAGCTGCCTTTAGAGCCCAGGGCTTAGGGTGTTTGTGGCATGTGCCAGGTTTAGGACATTCTGGCAGCTCAACACGTGTTTAAAAGATGGACCACAAGAGAAATTCCAGTGCTTTGCTTTGGGGAGCTAGGTCCAGGCCAGATCCCAGAGGTGTCTCACAGATTCCCCACAGTGCTCTTGCCCTTGGGAGAATGCAGCATCCTGATGTCCCTGTATAACTAGAAATTGTTGACTTAGTGGCCTGAGACCACTGGAAAGCCAAGACAGTTTTTGCATATGGTCACTGTCTTAGAGCTGTGAAGTGGCTGGAAAAACGCAAGAGGTCCTGAACCACAGCAGTTTTGGGGCAGGGGAACACGTCTCAGCTTTGGATTCACTGCGGCTGCTTTATACTGAATTTCTGCTATGAATTCATATATGTGGTGTGGACCTTTATGAGATCACTTCCATGACTCACGCACCTTGTTACCTGTGCCAACATGTGAAGTTCCTTGTGCTTTCCCTCATGTGACCAGCAGTCATGGTATAGAAATGTATATATGGAATTATGTTACATGCATTCCAAATACCTACAGCCTTCCAGGCCATATGAGGTTGAAGAAGCTGCAGCAGTGTGCTGCTAGCCAAAGAAATTGTCTTCCAGTGAGGTAGTGATAGAAGGAAGAGCACCATGGCATTTCTAGTTCAGGACACCACTCATCAGGAACAACCTGGATTCAGAAAGAAGCCCTGGAAAGAGGGCTTTCACACAAGGTCAGGGCAGGAGAAAGGCAGGGCTTCCTGCTGAATTAATCTTGATGCTTAAGACCTGACTAATTTTCAAGCTAGGTGGTGAATAGGTCTTGAAGAAAGATAGCTTCCTCTGCACAACCTCAATGAAATGGTTGAAATAAAACCATATTTACAGCAGTTAGCTAATGTTTGCCATGTGCAAGGCTGGAGGATGCCAGGTCTACTCTCTTGATAGGAGCATTAGGTTTCTGATACACAATGACTTCCATATCTGTGGAAGTGTAGGTACATATGAAATCTTGCTCTTAGACGGAGAATTCTAAGATTGCCTTTGGACCCACAATTAAACAGACATGGTTTTTAGTGGAAATCAGTAGCATCATTTACTATATTAGCTTCTCCTGTTAAGTTTATAGACACACAGAGGACAAAATAAAATCTTATGCTACTGAATAGTATGGAAAGAAACATATTTGAGCACAAAAGTGAGTTTTGAACTCATCAGTATCATAATTAGAAGGATCTATTCTTTATCTGAATACTTTTGGGAACAGTAGGTAAATCGTGTAAGCTAGTACAGCAAAGATAAACATTTGACTTGGGTTTGTGTGCAGCAAAAGATGTACATTAAACAAAGACAAACATTGTTTTTACCGTTTGCTATAAAAAGGCCAAGCCTCAGTAGTAATTGAAATTCTAACTGAACTCTTAATGAAACTTCAATGATGGATATGTCTGCTTTTAAATAACACCCCATATTACAAGTGATGAACAACATGAATAGCAGGCACCACACCTTTGAATAACCACTTGTAAAACACTTTGGAAGAGAAACCCAACATAATTACATCAGTGAAAATTTGCACATCCCTTGTGGATGCTAATAGACAAGCCCTGACACAGTGCCCAAAGGCATAAGGTGCCATCTGCTCCCAACATAGCTTCAGCAGGAGTTTCATTGAAAAGGTACTCAAAAGCAATGTTCCCCATGGAAGGGATGAGGAGTTCTGAAAGTAAGCACGAAGGAGCTGTGCTGAAGGTTGGACAAACCCTCTGTTAGACAAGCAGGAAAAAAATCCCAAACCAACAAGGGAGGTGAGAGTAAACAAGATGCTGCTAAATAAACACGATGTGATGTAAAGTCACTTTTCTACATCAGCTATCCTTGTCTCCACAAAAAATGCATCAGTTTTTCCCAGCCATTGGCAATCAGAGTCAATTTATTCAAATACTAATCCTATAAATGGAAATGGAAAATCAAATCCCTTAAGAATGTAAATAACAAGGGTGCTGCATCCTGAAACGTAAGAAATATTAAGCAACAACTCCTATTTCCTGGAAAAAAAAATAATGGAAATTCTTCCATGGAAAAAAAAATAATCATGGAAAAAAGCATGAAATTCTTGCTTTTAGAATTCCTTAAAATGTAATCACTGGGTGAGATACTATTTCTTGGACATATTTTTAGGTGGAAGAATAGTCCTGGCCATGATGCCTTGAAGAGCTACGAAAGTAATGAATACTAAATAATAACCAGAATCTTCTGAAACAAATACATCTGTCATTAATTAATAGCCCTTGGCATTTGTGAAAAAAAAAAAATGAGAAGGCTAAGACAAGAAACAAAATAAGAAGAGAGAGAACAAGATGCCAACAAAAATTGATGAAAACCATATGTTCAGCTGGAGATTTTTACAATCTTCACATGACGAACAGGCATTTTATTGGGTGATCCAACACAACAACAGCGCTGTCAACTACGAAAGTAAAAGGAGAATAGGCTCTTGTATTGGTTTTGAATGAATGGTTAAATGACTCTTCCTCAGAGGCCTTTTTCTTCTGGAAATTTCTAGAGGCATCAGGGTCAGGGCATGCATCCAGCTCAGTGAAGACACACTTTCAAGACAGCATGAGAAGAGACTCAACTCTGACTCCTAGCACACACCAGGGACACCCAGTTTGTCAAAGAAACCTGATGCTCTTACGCTAGCTTGCATTGGGTTTCTGTGGCAAGGTTTTGGTAGTGAGGGGACTACAGGGGGGAGCTTCTGTGAGAGGCTGCTGGAAGCTTCCCCTGTGTCTGACATCCAGCATCTGCCAGCTCCAAGACAAATCAGCCGCTGGACAAGGCTGAGCCCATCAGTGATGGTGGTAGTGCCTCTGCAATAACATAGTTAAGAACAGGGGGAAAGCCTGTGCATTTTGCAGCCAGAGAGTGGAGTTAGAACATGTGATAGGAACAGCTCTGCAGGCACCAGTGCAGAAGTAGGGAGAAGGTGTTCCAGGTGCCAGAACAAAGATTCCCCTGCAGCCAGTGGTGCAGGCAGTCTTGAGACAGGCTGTGCCCCTGCAGCTCTTGGAGGTCCATGGTGGAGCAGATCTCCACCTGCAGCCCACGGAGGTTGTAACACTGTGGGAAGTCCACGCTGAAGCAGGCTTCTGGCAGGACCTGTGGCCCCATGGAGACAGGAGCCCACAGAGCAGGTTTGCTGCATGGCTGGTGACCCTGCAGGAGTCCCATGCTGGAGCAGCCTGTTCCTGAAAGACTGCATCCCGTGGAAGGGCCCCATGCTGGAGCAGTCTGTTACTGACCCCTGTGAAAATGACATCTCATCAAGAATTGTCTGTGATACTAGCATGACAGGTAGCTAAGTAAATATTCTTGGAGAAAGCCAGGTCTGCCACTTTGATATCCCTGAAATATATATATGTATATATATATATATATATATATATATATATATATCTCCAGGCTCTTTCATGAACAACTGAACTAATGAAATGTGGCTTCTTTTAGTTTTAACGTTTCTGGTGTTAATAAAGTGCAAAGTTTTAAGGTGTTTTTTTTAGAGGTGCATATCCCTCCATGTTGATTCTCTAAAGACCCGTAAGAACACACAGCTGTTCTTCCAGTGGGTTCCTGAGACACTGCCCTCACCATTTGTTTTCACAGTTTTCAGACTCACTTCCCTGTTGGATTTGGTTGACATGAACAGTGTGGTCACCTCATTTTCCTGGTTGTTTCTGTTTGTTTTTAAATCTCCACCTTTGTTGGTGTACTTTTTCATATTTTTATGGGCATAATAATAGCTACAGAGTGCTTTTATGCAGAGAGGTTTTAAATTCAGTGTATAGTAACATTCTCTTTGGGGCGGAGAGGCGAGAGGGCAAGTCAGGGATGTAAAAACATTGATTACAAGGAATGTATTTTTCCTGTTCAAAGTTGGAAAAATAAAGAAGGAATTGCTCATACTATTTTTATTGCAAAAGGGTATTTTACTTTTAGGTTTTATTGCTTTAGAAAGCCTAGCAGAACAAACATGAGATTCTCTGGAGTGAAAGTCTTTGTACTAAGCATTCTGTATGGACATATTTATTCCATTTTATAATTCTGTTGAATAGCTGCTCCATATAAACAGAAAATTGCTGTATAACTCCTTCCATCCTCCTCCCCAAAAGACAGTTAAGTGAAATCCAGAGCAGTAACTCAATCACTAAGCTGTTTATGCTGAAATACATACTTAATTCTAATGTTGCTTCAGGAGTGGCTGTTTCTTAATCATGTCTTTCATTTTTTGGTTGTGGAATTTGATTTGCTACTCTATGTAATACCTGTATGGTATTGCAAATAAATACCTCATTGTGAATATCAAGGAGTAATTAGAAGATCAGAATGCTCGACTCGATCAGGGTGAGCGCAGTGACTACTCGCATGTGGTGACTTGCCTCATTGTTATTATGGGAGGGACAATATTTTCATTGTAGCTTTTGAAACCTCTGTCCCAGTTTTAAAATTTCATAGCAAATGATTGTGCTGCATTTTGTTGGAAAAAAAATTGTAGAATTTACATATTTTTTGTTTTTATGGAAGACATTTACACATCTTAATGTAGAAACAGAGCACATGAAACTGGCATATCAGCAGTACCCTCTAATTATCCAGATTTTTTTAAAAGGAGTACTGCTCCTGGAAAAGGATAGCATACATCTACTAGGGCCTGCTCTCTGAACTGCCTGCAGCTATAGTTCTGTGAAAGCCACATCCCAAATACCCACATTGCACAGGCCAGTAAACGTATTAACACATCTAACTAAGCTGGAAAATTTACTACAAAAGTTTCAAATTCACAAAAACAACGTTTCACAGAAAGAGAGCAAGAGGTATTTTGGGTGTTGCAATGACCCTCAGTCCTTTTAACACCATGGAATTTTTCTAGACGAAGATGTTCATCCAGATGATGTCAACAGTATCTCCCATAATATCCTCATGAACAGTGTTGCGCAATTTGGTGTAATAATCATACAAAATTTGCTTAGCACAACTTGCTTAGCATTAGTAGCTGGATTTGCTGCAGCCTTAGGCAGCAAGCTGTTAACTTTCACACAGGTATGCTGAACTTTTACTTAGTGAAGTAAAAGAAGGCCCAAGAGTCAGTTTGAGTTGGAAGATGAGGAAGCAAGGAAGGCAGCTACAGCCATCAGCTGATGAAGCAGCCTTGGAGATAAGAAACAGCCCATCTGGAGATAATAAAGGGACCTAATGAAGCACGGGAGGACCCCAGACTTAAACATTGCTACTGGTCAGAACTGTCACATGAGGGACTGTAGATTGTAGGGGTGTAATTGCCAATGGATTTTTTTGTTTTGACCCAGCTCTAGCTGCTCCCCATGTTGGAGAAGTAAACCACTTATTTACTCAGCAGATTGGTGACTTATCTGCATCAAGCAGGAACCCAAGGCCAAGCCCTGTTGACCCTGACATAACTCCTGTGAGGTGGTGTAATTTTGTCAGCAGGAAGACTAGGACAGTGGACAATGAAGTAAATTAAAAGCTGACGAACCGCTTAGCTCAATGTGTTTTGGTCAGTGATGCAAAGTCCACCTGGAGACCAGTCACTAGTGGTGTACCGCAGGGGGGCAGTTTCTGAGGCTCTGTTAATTACCATTTCAGGGAAGATCTTTGCAAGCTTCAGTTTGTCCTCCAAACTGCAGTTTTCTCCTGAAAGAGGAGTTTGTTGTTCTTCTTCCTTACAAAATATACTTAGTGAATTTCTGCTACTCAACAGGACAGCCACCAAATACTAGACCACTCAGCTTAAACTATTTTCCTTTTTCTTCAGTCACTGCTCTTGCTGATGCAGTTATGATAGATGAGTGTGACTACTCACCAAAATGACATTTACACCTGGCACGTTTTCTCAAACTTCCGTAACTATGTGACTACCTCAGCCTTGTGACCCTATTAATTTTGGAAATAATTCCACTGTATCATAAAATAAAGTCAGACAAACATTTCATGGTCTATGGCAATGTCATGACCAGTGTCGGTGCAAGGAATTTATTGATTCTGCATGAAAGAAAGAGCTGGATTTGTGTGAGTACAGGGCACCTTAAGGGAAAAGTCAGAACAGTTGCAATGACTGGGGTGAGCTCTACAATTGAAAATTCTCATCACTGAGTTGTTGTTTAGTGAGATGTCACTAGAACTTATTTTGTCACTTCAGTTGAAATCCCTGATGCATTGTATGGTGGTGCAGATACTCAGCTGGTTTCTATGGCTGTACCTCCATTGATTCAATCTAAGTGCCCAGACTCGCTGTAGCTGAGGCTCTAGCCTATAGCTTTTGAACCATCATTATAACTTCTTAAAATTAATGTATGCTGTGTTTGGAAGAAGGGGCAGGAAGGAAATACTGAAAATATTTACAGTGAATTTTATTATTTTCAGGCACTCACAAATGAGGGAATGACTTGAAAATGCAGTAATTAGTATCTTCATTTGTCTCTGAAATGTTCTTTCCCTTGTTTCAATCTCATTTCATTCTTTCCCATATTGAATTTATTGTTGTTTGCATGTAAAATCCTTGGAGTTTTTTGACTGTAAAGAAGGAAGAACTAAGTGTCAAAATCTGATGATTGCTTCTTTTCTTTTGAATGACATTTCAGCCAGTGAAGTACTGATTTGTCCACTGGATGGGGGATCAAATGAGGGCATGTTAAACTTAAAGAATGGCATACAACAATGTATGAATAGAGCACTCTCTCCCACAGAAATTAAAACAGTAGAAGCAATAGATAGCAGACTCTGGGAGTTACAACTGTGTGAGATGTGAAGAAATTTGTCTGACTGAGAACAATGTGTGGATGACTCCTGATCTTTAACTTACTGCCTCAGATTGGAACCAACAGAATTCCACCAGTTCTTCTCTGAGTCTCTACAGGACACTCATTCCTCTGGTCCCTTCCCCTTTATTCCATTCTAAAGGCATTGAAAGGCATTGAAGCATTTCTGCCTCGAAAATTCTGAGGTGCTTCAGGGCAGGTTTTCTTGAGGGTGGTCCCTACTCTGTATGCATATGGTCTGCGTGATGGAAGGGTTGTGCCAGATATCTGTTAGCTTAACAAGAATAATTCTGACCAGCCTCCAAGGTGCATGGAAATGTTGGATAAATGTCACAATTTTTTAAATTCCTGTCGACATGATAAAACTTCAAGGGAGCTAAAACATTTCCAGGACACTTACTTGTCCCCATCTTTGGTCTGCATAACCAAACCCAAACAGACTAGTGAAAATAGTGAGCAGAGACAGCACTATAGCTTATTTTCACCTACACTTACTAGTGTCCACCATTGTGTCATCCCTGCTGCATTCTATCAGTGAGAAAGTTGTGGGTAAGGGAAAAAAATTCTAGCTACAGAGAAGTGTAGAATAACATCTGCCCATGTGTGGATCCTTCCTTAAAAAAGCAGAGAAAACATCTGCTTGGTTATAAATGGAAAATGGAGAGGAGGGAGGGGGGGAAGAGAATTATTTTTATTTCTTTCCCTTACTATATAATTGTATCAAAAAGTTAAAGATGGTTAAGGAAATGCAAATAAGAAACATCAGAGTCCAGATAGTGTAGAATCATAGAATTATATAATCATAGAATGGTCAGGGTTGAAAAGGACCTGAAGATCATCTAGTTCCAACTCCTATGCCACAGGCAGAGATGCCTCAGACTAGACTGTGTTGCCCAAGGCTGTGTTCAACCTGGCCTTGAACACTGGCAGGGGTGGAGCATTTGTCACTTCTTTGGGCAAAAGAAGTGTTAAGTGGGTGTAGTCACTTAATTATTTCATTTTGAAGTCAGTGTGAATTAGCTATTTTATGTTTGGGAACCTGAACTTCCAGCTCTGGTTTTCCTGCCACACCACTGCCTACCTTTCGCTTTAGAAGACTTCTCAGCACCAGACCAGTGGTGAGGATGGAAATCGCAGACCCTGGGTTCTCTCTGATTCACCACATGGCTTCTCCTATACAGATACTTCTAGCCCTGCTCTCCAGCCTCAACCTACTGTGCCTTAAAGATGAACTGTGACACTGAAACCAAAGGTCCAGCTAGTGCACTGTCTTGTTTCTGACAGTGCCACACAGTAAATGCTTTAGAAATAAGTGTTAGACCTGAGCAAGGTCAGAGATAACACTCACCCTGCCAAAACTTTGCAGCCCAGGGCAGGAGGTATTTTAAGGTCTTCCTCAGTAGAAAGTTAAAACTGGAGTATGCCAGTCAAATTACTCCTTAGAAGTCTATTTTCTGTGGATGTGTGTAGTTTCCCTTTTAATAAAACTGGCCTTCCCAGTGGCCTCTGGCAATGCATTCTACAGTTTATGCTTTTTGTAAAGGAGCATTTCCTTCTGTTTGCTTTCACCCTTGGGCCTGCTAGTTTCCTTGGGTGCTCCTTACTTCTATGTGAAATAACAAATTACGACTTCTGAACTACCTTCTTTTTTTGCCACTATTAGACAGGTATTTGTCCTGTAGCACCTCCTCCTCCTTTCCCATTGTCTCTTTTCCAGGATGAAAAACCTATTCCACATAGTTTCTAGACATATGTCCTGTGTTTTAGGTCTGTCATGACAACTGGAAGGTCATCATATGATGGCCAGATATCACAGGCATTCCTTCTCATGGTACAAGTGCAGGTTTTTCCTGTAAAACACAATCTGAGACCATCTGGAGGATGGTGTGCAGAATGGCTGAAGGAGGAAAGATATGCAATAGTCCAAATGGGCCCCGTGACCATGGAGGTCAGGTCCAGCTTTTGGGACATCCTTCTTTCCACAGGCCAAACCCTCCAAGCATCTTGCTCTGTCCTCTCTCCATGTAGCTAGGAACTTACGCCCACCTTTTTACTATAGTGCCACATACCCCTTCTCTGCTGCAGCCCCCACATCCTTCCCTTCTGGATGGTGATATCATGAGCATGGTGGGAGAGATGTGGACATAAGTGCAAGCACTACTGTAAGACAGTAGTGATACAAATTGTACATATTGTGAGTATGCTGCTGTAGGGCATCCAAAAGCTACTTGAAGGAAGAACCTCTTTTTGTTCTCTGACAGCTGTTGTCCATATATTTTATTCTCTCCCCCCCCCCACCCCACCCCCCCAGTCCCTCTAACTTAGCACTTCTTTGTCTACAGAAATTTCCCCCTCGTGCCTTTTTCAGTGGTGACTTGGGAGTATTAATCCTGTCACATTTCTGTTCTGGAGTCAAAACTACTGAGTTAGGTTGTAACTCTTTCTGATGGGTAATCCTATCAGTAATTGCTGTTAAAGTTTTCTCAAAAGGAAAGACAGTGTCACCTCTGGCTCTGCATACCTCCCCCTCCCCCCCCAGCTGGGGACCTTACCTGTGC